CATTGGATTTTTTGTATACTAAGACATCTAGGAAGGGAAGTTGATTGTTAGCTTCTGTTTCCATGGTGAATTGTATTTTGGGGTGTAGGCTGTTGAGGTGTGTGAGGAAGTTGTTCAGTTTTTCTTTCCCGTGTGGCCAGATTATGAAGGTGTCATCTATGTATCTGAGCCAGAGTTTGGGTTTGTGATCATATTTTTCTAGAGCTTGTGTTTCAAAGTGTTCCATGTAGAGGTTTGCAATGACAGGTGAGAGGGGTGATCCCATGGGTGCTCCTTCTATTTGTTTGTATTTTTGTCCATTGTAGGTGAAGTATGTATTGGATAGGCAGTGGTTGGTCAGATCGCAGTTGCATCAGTACCCGCTTCAAACCCTTCTGACCCATACATCAAGTGAACTGACGCCCACCATGAAGGTGCGGCACGACCACGAACGCGAAGCCAAACAGCAGGATCACAGCTCACCAGCTCAAATCCCCCAGCAACTAAGACTAACCTGAGCACAACCAAGCCCCCACCTGAACAGAACACACCCCCAGCCAATCAGAACACAGCCAACCCCCCAACCACTCAGAACACAGCCAACCCCCAACCAATGAGAACATACCCCCACCCAATCAGAACACAGCCAAGCCCCCACCCAATAAAGTCACATCCCCACTAGCAGTTAAAAGGAAGAAGCAGCTGCAAGCTCACATTACTCTGAGAAGCACGAAGCCGAAGACACAAGCCTGAAGATGATGAATGAGACTTCATCGAAATGTCACCTAGATGCTTCCAATTTTACGCGGGAGAAAACCCAAATAACCAAAGATCCACATACAAATACCCACAAGAACCTCAGAAAACAAATGTATGTATGTATGTATGTATGTATGTATGTATGTATGTATGTATGTCTAGGTGTGTTCAGGTCTTTTCCCATGTAAGATTAAGAGTATCTTAGCGACGTTTCGGTGAGGTCCCACTCACAAGCAGCACTGGCATGAAGCCGAAAGCACCAGCCTGAGGATGGCAAGTGGGACCTCGCCGAAACGTCACCAAGATACTCTTAATCTTACACAGGAAAAGACCCAACCATACCTAGACCTACATACCTGTACCCGTGAAAATCTACGAAGATAGATAGATAGATAGATAGATAGATAGATAGATAGATAGATAGACAGATAGATAGATAGATTGATTTGTATGGTATTCAGCTTTGTTTGGGTATTTTCCCACGTCATTATAGTTGTGCTTCTAAAGTTGTAGCAACGTTTTGGCAGAATCTCATCTGCCATCATCAGGCTTCTGTATTGTGTTCTTTTGTGAGTCAGACTTTCACAGCCATTTCAGTTTTAAATTTGGGGCTAGCCACATATATTTGTAGTTTATATATTGTAAACCCAACTATGTTGTTTACATATACATAACAAAGAGCACAACTCTCAACATAGTCTTGTAGTAAGTGCCATACAATTAAGATATTCATTTCATATTTTTCCTGACCACTTTAATGTATTATGCTTTGTTTCCCAGCAATTAAAAACAAAAAAGAAATAATATGAACTGATAACGCTTACTCTATACAAGAAAAACTTTTATGTGCCATGAACAAATAATAAAAAGGTAATTCATTCCTACAATTAGAAAATAGCGTGTACCACTCAATCTTAGATTTTTTGATATTTACTGAGAAAGTGGAAAATAGGGGCATGTACAATAGCCTGGCCCATATACTGCTTCTGTATATTTACCAAAATCTTAGTCTCTTCAGCTTGTGTATTTTACTACAGGTTGTCCTCAACTTATAACAGCTTGTTTAATGATGGTTCAAACTTATAACCACACTGAAAAATGTGACTTATGACTGTTTTCACATTTACAACTGTTGAAGTATCCTCGTCGTCATGTGATCAAAATTCAGACACTTGGCAAATAACTCATATTTATGATGGTTGCAGTGTCCCAGGGTCATAAGATCACCTTTTATGAACTTGTAAAAGCAAATGTCAATGGACAAGCCAGATTCATTTAACAACCATGTTGCTAACTTAACTACGGTGATTCACTTAACAACTGTGGCAAGAACTGTGGCTTAACAACTATCTCACTTAGCAACAGAAATTTTGGGCTACATTGTGGTCATATATTCATGACTATCTGTAGCACCAACTGTTGAAATCCAATAATGAGGGAAGACTATGTGCAAACCCAATATTCCATCCATTTTGGATCATCACAAAGTCCCTGGAAACTGTGTATAAGACTTTTATCTAAAGAAAACAAGCACAGAGTTCCATAGAATTGGTCATTAGCTTTCCATATGGACTCTTTCCCTTACAAAAGAAAGGGGGAAAAAACCCAGTGATAATCTTGTTTATTACTTAACAGTGAAATTCACATTAAATAGATTCTTTTTATTTTATCAAATAATAAAATATCAGGTTCAATATATATACAGAATACACATATATACACCAGAAACAAACTATAGCATGCCAACACCCCACTTTCCAATCAGTAAAACCAAAACAATTTACTGTTTTAAGAAAAGAATTATATGGAAATTTAAGATGCCTTAACCACTATTCCAAACTGTTTCTCATTATTAATCTAAATATATAAAATTATTTTTCTGATACATTGTAGACTCCTAATTGCATATTTTACTCTATTTCTCTGCATTGCAGTGAAACCTATTTCCAGGTGTTTATAGAGAATGCCAATTGTCCTATTTTTTTTTCCTTTTACCTTTCTTTCATGCTGTTTTGAAACTGTGGGTAAACATATATATCCTAATTTATTATATAAGAACACACATTTAACAATTATTTATTTACTTATTTTTCAATGGTCTAATTCTACTATCCTACCATTTCTGATTCAATTGGATGAAAAAGTATCTGGTTTTGACATTCCTCTGTGAAGATAAGAAAATGTTAGTGAAGTATAGGTTTCTTATACTTTGGTTAAGTAGTAGCTAAAACATGTCTGTCAGTATTGTGTCTTTGTTTATACAGTCTTCTTTTTAGTGCTTTCCTAGCTTCTTACACCTTTATTATTAACCAGTGAAAGATAATAAACAGGAACTGCTCCCACGGGCTTTCATCAGATTAGGAACAATGGGTAACCAGGGAGATATGAGAATGAGGGAAGAATGCATAACTGAAAGAAACTATAGCAGGAACACTTTCTTCCATCAACTATAAAGCAAGTACCTCTTATAAAAGGTATAAACAGGAAAAACATTAAGTTTTAAATCTTTCGTAACTGGAAGTGCTACTTAAAACTCCAATTAAATCACAGAGCTCCTCTTCCTCCAGATGTTTCCCAAACATCTTCATTTTAGAGTTTATTTCTCCTGAACCAGGAGTAGATAAGAGAAGGACAAAGAGGAAAGAATAAGAAAGAATTAGATATGCTTGTGATTCAGTGCTATTTTGTAGGTGCACTCAATGGAGGAAAAATAAACATTTGATTTTAATCACCATTACTTTGTCTAAAAAAAGTTGCACTCCATTTCCAATAAATTCATACAGCTCTTACTTGATGAATTTAGCTCAGACATGATGATGCATACCTAGATAGATTACGTATTGCTATATATGTTTTTTTAAGGAGGCATTTAAATAACTTTCATTATTATTCATTGTTGTTTTTTCTCTCTCTCTTCTCTTTCTTTTTTCTCCTGTCAAGCAAATGAAATTTATATTAGGGTATTATAATAAGGTACTTACCCATTATTTAAAGTCACAAATTCCATTAGTATACATGTGCTTGGGCCTGCATTGGTTTCCTGTGACCTTTTAGGAAGGATAATAGGCAATCTACATCCACTGAACACATGAACTGTAAGAAATTGCCATCTGTTTTCTTTAGAAGTATACATAGGGAGCCAGGTATAATGCATATTTTAGAGTATAACTTAATAACATGTGATTTATTTGTTTATTTATAATCCCAAATGCTGAACTTATTAATATTTTCTATGCTTGAGCTCTTGTGTATTTTAAAGTTTGTTTTTTACATTGCACAAAAGCTTTGTAAATAATTATTAGAGCCAGCTAGATTAAAATCTCTAAAATTTACTAGTGCATAATATCTTCATAAAATGTCCACAGCATAAGGATATCAACCTTTAAGATTCAATTATTTCATCTGTTCAAAAATAATGGGAATCTTTCATTTCCAACTTCTTTAGTGACTAATGGAATCTCATACCTATTCTACTGCTTAATTTTTTCTTTGCCAACTGGTATATCAGCACTCTATAGAAAAATTATACATTCTTTAAAAGCATTTTTAATCTTTAATCAACCCTATTAGTTGAATTCAACAGCTGAGCTTCTTCCCTCCTATGATGTAACCTAAGTTGGGAAGGAAAGGCAACATTTTGTTTTGCCCAGTGAAATTCTGAAGACCTTTGGTATGGAAAGTTATCCTTGGAAAAAAATCTTGCTCATATTT